ATCCAATCTTCTAACCACAAGAGTCACTTATTATCCATCTTCTAACCACAAGAGTCACTTATTATCCATCTTCTGTCTAGAACAACCACTAGTAACTGAAAACATGACGTTGTAACATAAAGTTGTAGCGACAAGCAAATAGCTTTAATTTGTAAAAGAAAATATATAATAATAATAATAATAATAACGACCTTTCATTTGTTCATTAAAAACTGAAAAACATTAAAAATCCAAAAGGTATACGTGTGTATATATATATATATATATGTCATTTTCCTTTATATTCCTGTAGAGGGTGCTCAGTCTTTAAAAACAAAACTTTCTTCAGTGATTATAATCGTGGCCTTGACCGTTCTGGCTGGTTGCACGTACCTAAAATGGAGGATGAAACATGTTAAGTAAAAAAAACCTAATATGAAAACTCAGTAAACCTTTACACGTCGGACATAATATAATCATACTACCGAGCAGTTTGTTAATAAAATTTAGGATACAAAACGAACTACTCTGTAATATTCATATAAATATAACAGTTTTATATTTAACTACAAATATAACTGTATTTGGTTTATAAATATTATCATATATCATGTAAAGACATTTGTCTCTTTCCACATATCCGAATTTAATATATTTTACAGAGGATTGTGTTAAAACAATTTTTAATATGCAAATCAATAAATCAAGTGACAACCACGGCAGATATGAAGTTGCGGTGGAACAGATTGTATCAGAACTACATTTTACTATTGTTTAGTGTGATCTAAAATGTATTGTTTTTGAGAAAGGCGTGAAACACCTTTCGACGCAAAATACGCATACATTCAGTTTATAAGGATTTGTTCAAATCGTGGATTTAGAGTTTCCACGATGATATTTCTTGTACTTAATGGCACTGGAAAACAAAGGAATGTGAGTTTACTTGGGGGGAACCAGGATCATCCAGAAAGAGATCTGTAACAACTCGAACCCCCCTGCCTTGGTAAGCAAAGTACGGCGACTTGTAAAACATGAGAATTCACGAACACTATGGCCAGTGGCAAAAGACGTCCGTGTGTTTTACACAACATTATCGGGAAGGATCTCAGTAATGAAAAACGACACACGTCACGTACACACAAGTTATTTCCACTGCATATCCATTCAACTGTAGAATACCTCAAGCAGCTGGATACTGAAATGGATATTTATGCTATTCCACACAACGACATACCGGTCAAGTCACCTATAGAGTTCTGTGCGATCGGACTGTTCAAACGGACGCTGTGAAACTGTCATCCTCCTAAAGTTGATAGATTGTGGAAATTATGCAGGGTGGAAAGGTGTGCTTTGGAGATGACACTCTAACGACTTAGTATTTTGAAATGAAATTACAATACAGACTATTGTTAAGATGCACAGTCTTCATTTTTATTTTATTTTAAGAAACGTGGGTAAATAGCTTCAAGGTTTCAAATGTTATTCCCGCAAATAAATTTGGTGAGGGGATGCTACTTATGTCTTTCACTTCCGAGGCTTAAAGTCTTATAGTATATATCAACTTATCCAGTCTGCGTAATGGAGTTTTGGTATTGAACGAAAGGCCGATTCGTGCAAAGAATAAAGTGCAGGAAAAAGTCCACTTTGCCAAAACTTTTATTGTACTAGTAAATAATTATCCCCTTAAACATTAACTGGGAGTCTTCTGTGTCGTTTCAATGCACAGGGAAGACATTAGGGGGTCATATCCTAATGCCAAACCCCCAATGTCACTCTGCGTAAGGGTTTTTACCAGGCTTGATGAAAATTGGTCGATCATTCGCCAGTTATTAAGTAGAAACAACATACGAGGAAGTTAGATGAGCCCTACGGAGTGACATGGGGGTCATATTCGAAAGCCAACCCTCCCCATGTCACTCCTCAGGGGTCCTAAAGGTGTATGCCACGTTTGGTGACAGTCACTACTGAAAGCGGACACACACACACACACCGACTTCTGTCAAGTACTAGTCCAGCTAAGATGTCTATAAAAAGTGAGCGACCATTATTTCTCTCTGATTCCTATCCTGTTCCTACTGCCCCTGACTTTCGATCAGATGTTTGTGTTACATAGAAAAATGAACGATTTCACATAATGAAATATCTGTACTAAGTATTATAACAGACAAAAACATAAAATTACTCAAACGTGTGATGTCGTGGGCACTCAAATCTCTTGTGATGTCATGGGCACTAAATCTTGCGGGCACTCAAATCTCTTTTATGCCTCAAGTGAAATACAGGGTGACTCAAAAGTTCTGTTTTTACCTATCGTTGTGAAGTAGGTGTAGGGTCAACGTCAATTAAATGCTACAACTTTTGTATTGACAGTTTTACCTCAAACTGCACCATCTGTAGAACTCTGGTTAAGATGATGCATATAATGCTTTGGTTAAACAGAACAACAGAGAATCAGATTGTCGTGTATCTACGTACAATCCGCGAGACGTTCCTCTAGCATCGAAATTTGTTCACTCAGAGAGTGAACCCTCTCCCACGGAGAACCGTAATAGGCGTAGTTGTCGGTTTTGGTTTTATCGGAGGAGTAGCTTGGAACGTCCTTCTCCGTCATAGAGGACACCGATTTAGCTATTTTCTCTACTTGATATTCAAGATCTGTTAAGTTGTGCTGTTCTTGCATCTGAAAAAAAAAAAAACATATAGAAAAATTTGAAAAGAAATACAACTAAAAAATATTTGTACTGTTAGTCATATTTTCACCATTCTTTATTCCAACCTTTAACTGAATAAATTTTTCTTTTATAGTTTCGAAACATACAGATCCAAAGTTTCGTATTCAATAGTAATTTACATAGTTTTAATTACGTAGTTTTAACCTCTCCATTAAGTAACGTTGGTGAAATAAATATATTTGATTACTCTGAGAAACCTGGCATCACATGGTGTCACCATGCAAGAACAGGTTAACTATAATCAAACAGACACATTAAAACAACATTCTACCTATACCTTCCCTGTTTATTTTGACACAGGATACTTTTACTTATTTATCCTATATAGTATGTTTCATAAATATTTGTCTTTTTTTTTTTGCTCATAGTAATCCAACAAACAATTTAACTAGAGTTGCCAGGACAACGGGTCAATACTCAGCCAATCAGACACCTCTTAGTAACATTGTATAATAGGTTTATTGTAAACATGTTAGCACATGTTCCATTTGTTGAAGGTTGACCATTATAAAAGCTGGAATGGCAACCTTACCAGCCAACTTTTCATCGCCCACAGGGAGGCAGTCCTTGATAATTGTTTTAACACCCAGAACTGACCGCAGACAGTCAGTGAGAGTTCAAAGGTCGTGGCCTGATCACTCAAAATCTCCTCATAGTTTTATAAATCTAATTTCAACCCACGTGTGAACAGAAGTTCAAACAGTGTGGGTTTTACTCCCATAAATATTTTTCCAACTGTGTATCTTATACGATAGTTTTATTTGACCTATACATTTAGTTTGTTTTTATTAGCATGGTTATCTCACACATGTATTTAAATGAAGTGATGACACACGCAGCGATATACAAACCAAAGACGAACTCGCATTCCTAAGCTGCTACAGAAGAAAGACCCTGGCGTGGCCTACTGGCTAGGGCGTTCGACTCGCAATTTGAGGGTCGCAGGTTTGAACCCCCCATAACCGAACATGCTTCTCTTTTAGGGTTGCTGTCAGGGCCCCCTGGTGTAAAATTTCTTGGATTAAAAGGAGACACAGCCATTTCCTGTGTTTCCCCTAATTGCTGCAAGGCATTGGAAAGCAGGGTGGAGGTGGCCTACTGGCTAGGGCATTCGACTCGCAATCTGAGGGGCGCAGGTTTGAATCCACATAACCGAACATGCCTACCTTTTAGGGTTGCTGTCAGTGCCCCCTGGTGTAAAATTTCTTGGATTAAAAGGAGACTCAGCCATTACGTGTGTTTCCCCCAAACGCTGCAAGGCATTGGAAAGCAGGGTGGAGGTGGAGGGGGGGGATAAAGGATTGTCGTTCTTGTTTTATTACCTGTTAAGTTGTTTTCAATAGAGAAGTTAATATCTACTTGTAACCTCTGATCGGCTAAATATTAACTTATAGGATAAAGAAACCAATTCCATAAATATCAAACTGAAAGGTATAATGATCAGAACTCATTCATACATCAGTTGGACATCTTCGTTACTAACGATATGGTCAGTTTTTGTTTCTTTTTTTGGAACAAAATGGCCTCGAGACTTCCATATTTTTTTATACTCTCAAGGAATTACTGCGTGCATATTCTGAAAGCAGTGCAGATTTATACATTTGGATTCCCAACACCACACCTGTATCTTATCGACAGGTGGGATGTTAAGAAGTAACGATTGTTTGTTTGGAATTTCGTGCAAAGATACGCAGGGGCTATCTGCGATAGCCGTCCCTAATTTAGCAGTGTAAGAATAGAGGGAAGGAAGCTA